AGATGCTACCATAGTTAGTAGAGGGGAATAGGCTTGTAAAATTTCATTGAAAAATATTTAAGTTAAATAATATTTTCGAGAGCTTAGATTTGCATTATTTTCATAAGGTATTTTGACCATTTTACGGCCAAAACCGAGGGGGGTGATCGATATATCTCGGAAACTAAAAGGACTAGAATCGTTTAAATAACACAGTTCTTATTGATTTCCCATGTAGATTGTATGCTGATAATATAAAGTAAATCGGTCGACCCCCATCTTTTGGACCTGCCCTGTTTTCTCAGACAACGTCTCTTAATAACGGACGTACGGTCGATGCTTAACGACCATTTAAAGAAATTTACACACACAAAGTCAGATATACTAAATATCTCGTAGTGAAATCGATGATGACTTAATTTTCGTATAAATATCTGGAATGCTGGTGTTAGTTTTCAAATGTATGGTTGAATGCCACGCCCCAAGAAAAGTCTTTTTGGTAATGATCATCATACTCTTTTCATTTTTTTTGACCTTTCATCACATTATATTTGATGCCAGAAGGGATGTCGTTCACCAGCAGCGCAGTCGCCTTTATTTTACATTTTTCATACATGGAAAATGCAGTGACTTCAAATACCTTGTCCTCAGTTTCGCAATCTGTTTCCATCCGTGGGTTTTAAGACCGCATATTGTAAGTTTTTTTGCTTATATTACGATGTATCTTTATTTTCAAGCGTAAACAAAAGCTCAAAAGGGATGCCGGTTGACAATGGCACTTGATCTATGAAGACTTTAAATTTGTTTTTCCTTACAATAAATGTAGGATTTTCAAAACTTTTAATGTTAAAAATGTAATATCTACTTCAATGTCCCACATTTTGTTGTATTTTCTGCACATATTCAAACTCACACACTACATGAAGATACTATTCAAGGGGGATTTGCAAGTGAAAGATAAGTTCAATTCTTGGCTTGCAGCAAGAATAGTTAGTTAGTTAGTTAGTTAGTTAGGCGGATGACTCCGAAATTTGACAATGGCACTCCAAACGACCCTGTCTTCCATCAACGTAGCCAGCTCGTGTGAGCTGATTGCCCCTTGCAAGAATACAACACATGAAATATGATTTTTTGTTATCATTAAAATTAACAAGACAGCAAATAATAATGCAAAATATCTATTTAATGAAGAGACCATAATACAGTTTGTGCATTTGTATACAAATCTTTCTGCATTTTGGTATCTGCGGTCGAAACTGCTAAAACACTTACCGATAAATTTGTTTTTTGTTGCCTTTATGTTTTATCGCCCGATTTCATACCGTTGGAGACTGGGTACAAGTCCCTTAACTCGCACGATTGTGAGATAAGACTTATATAGAACGAAATATCGCACTGTAAATAAGAAAAAAATGTAAACGATTGGTAGTTTTTCTAACATTTAGARAAATCTGGACGCAGGTTCCATGGTGTACGCTCGTCATTCTATACATTTTTTCGGAAATTCTAGCGTTTTTGAAATACTGTAATCGCTCWATATTGACCTTATCAACGCCAAATTTGGACACTAGTTTAGAAGTATTTGGTAATCGGAATCTATTGTTAAGGGAGGGGCTGGTTTTTGTGTGTTGTGGAGTGGTGATTTTGTGTAAGAAATATACATGTATATTAAATATAAATGGATTGTTCCTGGTGTCATGGTACTAGACCCAGTTTAACATCACTCATCAGGGGCTGAGATGATAAACTGTTGTCATTATGGTGGATGACAAACGTGTTTCATACTCCAAGGCCTTAGAGCTCCTAAGGTAGTATTTCTCGATGCGTTCTTTCGTTCTATCGTTGGTCGTATCAATCAATMATGCAAATTAAGGGATTTGTACCCAGTCTCCCACGGTATGAAAACAGGCAATTACTAAGCAACGTTATGGGACTTACTGTATAGTTGCTAAAAATAAATTGATACAAAATAAAAGAAGAATTCTAGCTACGTACGCTACTTAAAGGATCACGTGCATCTAATAAGCTATGTGTGTGTGTGTGTGTGTTTTTTTTTTCATATTCAAAACAAAATTGGGCATCCATCGATTTTGAACCAATCAGAATGCACCTTTCAAAAAAAATATCATTTGTAAAATCAGAGAATAAACGATCGCAAAGGTTCTTGGATGCACGTGTTGCTTCAAGTATTTAAGGTATGTCATTCCGTTTTCTCTTCCAATCCATAAAGAACACCGGTCAGTAAACACTTGCGTATCAGCATTCACAACTGTCTGTGTATAATGCTATTTACGTCGTCTTTTATATCAAGATCTGAAAGTCAATGAAACAAAGATGATTAATTAACGGGCATRAAAACTATCGATATCGATTTTTGAAATATATCAACAAGATGCAAAACCAATCMTCTTTCCCCTCTTCAGCGCGCAAGTTATTTTGCTCTTCTCGATTCGTATAGTAGCAATTCAGTGACAAACAACATWGCAAAAGGAAGGCATTAGCGAATTTAGAGGGAGGTAGCAAAAAGAAGAATGCACAACGGAAGTAAAAAAGCTGTCAAACTCCCTCAAAATGCTGGTAATCGCGTTTCCGAGGTTCTAAAATTCTAAATTTTCCGTTGGGTATGCCACCGAATCTCCCTATTTGCAACCGCYTTTTGCGTTCGAATGGACGTCCCTGAGAGAGGTTGTAGTAGCACAATCATAAACAGTGCTTCACACAAGTTTGCAATTTTGTAGGTTACCATGAGCACTAATACACCATGTTTACGTCTGTGTCTATCTCTTCTATCATGGATGGACAGAACACTGCGTTAATGAGAACCGCAYCCCGTTTGAAGCAAAAAAACAATAGACACCAGGACAAGAAAGAGCATACTAAAATTAGTAAAGCTGCTGGGTTTGAGAGTAAAAATTGAAAAAATTAAAAAGAATGTATGGAGGTCTTGAGCAGCGTCCCCAAAACCATACATTCTTTCTTATTTTTACAAATTTGAAAAGATTTCCTACTCGGTGAGTATTCAACCAAGTATGTTCAAACTTGACAAGAACTATCTTTTTTAGTGTGGTCTTTCATGTGTTGACGYCCAGTTTTCGACGAATGTGATATTTTCACACTCGTTACCAGTCTCCTTTTGTGAATTTCGTAATAGTCAATTATATTGATTACTTAACATTTTTTCTAATTCTGATTTTAAGTTTGTGCAGATCAATCCAGGGTGATGGGGGAACGTGACGCATAACTCTATGATTTACTGAGAGTACTTGAAATCAAAGAATTGTCATTCGTGCGGGATCCCTGTGCCTTTTAGTTTTGAGCTTCCTTTAGCGAATCCATGCCATATATGGGAACAAACAAAATGGCCGATTGTTGAGAAGTGTTTTCGCTATAATATCTGCAAGTTTCAGGTGATTTCATGCTTTAAAAGTCAATAAAATCGCCAAAAACCATTCTTATCGTAATTCCAAATAAGGTAACATTACCATATATGGCTGCTAAAGGAAGGATAACTTTTGTGGGGCAATTCAATCTTTGATATAGTTTCTTATTAGTGTTGATTACCATTACTTTCGTTCTAAAAAAATGCACAGTTACGTATGCAGGTACTATACTTACCACATCCGTACAGTTCGAATCTCATGGAGATGTGACCATGCCAGGAGGTTGGCCGAATTCGAATCGCCTTGGCAACAATGGAAGGATAGAATAGATGATAAACGATGGTGTTCCTGTCTGTGTTTCCAGTAAACGTTTGACCACCATTGTAGTCTTCAAAGTAATCTCCATTGTGACTGTACTGCAGTTTGTACGATGTCACCCACTGGTTTACGTCTTGTCGACCTTGAGTTGCGATTCCTGTTATGTTGTGAGCCTCTGGAAATTCCACTTCGATCCACTGTCCTACGTTGTTGTCTTTAGCCGACCAGGCTCCTCTCTTGTTTCCTTGCCTCACAGTATTTAGTCTGGATCTATCTGCTCCATGATTCAAGTCCCAGATCGAGGAAGCATTGATACGAGAATCGGGTATCGTTTTATTTTCCATGCCTAAAGGGTGTCGACATTTGATTGGGGGCAGCCAGAAATCTATAACACAACAAAGCATATTTGTCTACTAAATGTAAACAGATGAAAGAAAAAAGAACTAGAGACAGCTAAACTCACCTTTTCTGCAACCATATAATTCAACTCTCATGGAAATGTGATTATGCCAGGCAATGGGATGAATACGAACAAAGCGAGCATAGATCGTCGGTCGCAAATAAGTATTTATCTTAACCGTTGAAGAATCTCGATTCCCCTCAAATTCCTGCTCGTATAAATTACAAAATATGACAAAATTAATAACAATAATTCAACGAGATAGCAATATTCTGCATGAAAGTACTGTACCAAGGTCCGAATAAGACTATTGACAAACCATTTTGTAAGTATACTTTTTCAAATTCCTTACCTTTGGATATCGTTCCCAAAATTTACCGTCTCTGCGGTGGAAAAGCATGAATCTGGTGACCCATTGATCGGAACTGGAGCTTCCTTGAGTCGCAAGCTTGTTGATCATGGCAATTTCTCCTAAATCGATTTTAAGCCACTGGTTCCTATTGCTATGCCATGGTCTCCAGCCCCCTGCACGCCCCAATCGTGGTACAAAGTGTAGTCGTGCACTCGATGCTTGATGAGCGCTATCCCATTCAGAAGAAGCACTAAATTGAGAATCTCGCACGAAACCAGACTCTAGACCCAAAGCCAATCCACATTTGTGTTGTGGGATATAAAAACCTACAAAGATATCGATCGTTAAAAGTTAAAGTTTTATCATTACAAAGCCCAATTCCATGTCAATTACACACATATCAATAGTCTGCTCAACTATTGCTTGAGCGAATAAAAGAACGATATCTACGCACGCTTATATTTATCGGCGAGTGCTCTTAGCAAAATGCGGATTACCTGTGGTATTACGTCAAATTCTCGTGCCTAGTCTGTGACAAAAGGTATGGAACACTGGTCACGTGATGGACCGATATCTTTGCAACAGTTATCGCGTCCAACCCTCCCTATCACTTCTTACAGGCTTTTGAGGAATAAAGTCAAATGGGAAATAAAGTCAGCAAAATATAACTACTATCATCATAAAGTAAGTGACCTTGAACACACGGATCGATCCAAAGAAATGGTGGAAACAAATCAAGCAATTAACGGGTCAGGATATTCAACAGGAATGGTTCCATCAATTCCTAGGCAAAAATTGTCCTGACACTAAGGCCTTAGCTAATATGGTGAACGATCACTATATTAGTCTAACATCTGACTTTGCTCCCCTGACCCCAACTGGAGTAATCAACCAACAAGTTCCTTCAAGCCTCCTAGTGAGTGTCAGGGAGGTGCAAGAAGCCTTGTCAARCMTAAMTGTTGGGAAGGCAATTGGSMCTGAYAGGATTCCGAATAGGGTCTTAAAAGAATTTGCTCCTGAACTCGCCCCTTTAATTATGGACATTTACAACCGTTCACTCAAGGAGGGTTATGTTCCCAACCTATTAAAACAATCTATCATCAATCCATTGCCCAAGGTTTATCCGCCACAAGAAATCAAAACTGACTTAAGACCTATCTCTCTGACTTGTACCATTGCTAAAGTCATGGAAGGATTTGCGCGCAACAGACTTGTTGCGCAAATCTCGGAAAAACTTCACCCACGTCAGTATGCAAGGGATGGACACTCTACCGCGGATGCCCTGATTTACATACTTCAGGCGATACATGAGGCAACAGATAGCGGGAACTGTGGAGCTAGATTGTTTTTCGCGGATTATTCCAAGGGTTTCGACCTSATCGACCATTCTATACTTCTCAGAGAGTTGTCGCATTTTGATGTAGACAGTGTGTTAATTAACTGGATCAGAGCCTTTTTGACTGATAGATCACAGGCTGTAAGAATTACTCTCGCTATAGAAAACACAGGAAGCTATTTTAATCGCCACAAATACACACCGCTATTTCGATTTTGAATTTCTTTTCTTCAGACCATATTTAATGACTGGTACACTGAAAACACAAAAAAATCCTTTATATGCACTTTAAAAAAAATAGTACAAGACTTTAAAATTCAGTTTTCTTTGAAAAAAGAATATAGTATTTGTCACGTGACCAGTGTTTCATACCTTGTCACAGACGTCTAGTTTACATCTCGCGAGGCACGGGATCCTGACGTCATATACCACAGACAATTCACAAATTACAAAGCGCRCACGCTCCGATATTGTAAAAACGTAAGCAGCTCGTACTTTTTCTTTTCTCTCAAGCAATAATTGGGCGCGTCCTGTATTAATACTTCTACCTTTTTTACATCCAAAAATCCCTACTCTCATTGAAATATGAGCATGCCATCTTGTGGGGTGGAAACGCATATATTGAGCAATTATTGGAGAATCAAGCCTGTGCGATACGACTTCGTGCTGATTAAAGTTTCCTGAAAACTCCTGAAATCATAACAAAAACACCATTTTATCGCTATTTCTCATATCAAACATTTGTTCTTCACTAATTCTACTCGGAGTCACTTCAAACGAGAGTGAAACTCACTTTATTTGAATCACCATCCATCACGGTATGAAATTCATCTCCAAAGACGCTGTAGACAATAGAATAAGACTTGACCCATTGCTGATAACCGGCCCTTCCTTGTGTGGAGATGATAGTAACCTTAGATATTTCTCCCAGGTCAACCTGTAGCCATTGCTTATTATCATTATCACGGGACGACCAGGCTCCTGTTCTACCTCTCCCAGGTTGATGGTGAAGTATGGCATTTCCAGGGCCATGGTTTTCGGCAAACTGGCTCGACGAAGACAACTGAGAATCCGTTAGTAGCAAACTGCTTTCRGGGCAGTCCAATTTATCCGGCAAAGGAAATCCTAATCCAAAATAAAAATGATGAAAAAGTTGATTGAGTGTTTGCAATTCGAAATGTCAAATTTATATCGCGAGATGATTCGCTGATTAACGTGATTTCCACACTATACTGAGACCATCAGGTTCCACTCGGGCGCTCCGGTAGAAAATAAAATTAAGATTTTCAAAAAACTTGGGTAAGAATTAAATTGCATAGCCGTTATATTCCTTGTAAGTCACATCGAGATGATTAAGGAAGGAAAACACCGCTTTATGAAAACCAATGCAAAGTTTTGGATTAAAGAAACGAGTCTGGAGATCGAATACAATATTTCGACTTTATTTCCGAATTTCGGAATTATAATCATCTCGATGTATCTTAAACTGGCGGATCGACATGGATTCGTTGTAAGTTATTGGCACATTTTTGGAGTAATACCTTTGCCCAAAAAAACCTTTGATGAGTTTGAAGTAGTATTTTTGCCTGCCCGCAAWTGTTAAAGATGCATTTCGATTTACCTTCTGAGCATCCGTACAGTTCAAATCTCATGGAAATGTGACCATGCCAGGCAACTGGCTGAATGCGAATAGCCTTGACAACAATGGCAGGCTCGAGAAGATTACCAATGATGGTCTTCCTGTCTGTGTTTCCAGTAAACGTTTGGCCACCATTGTAGTCTTCAAAGTAATCTCCATTGAGACTGTACTGCAGTTTGTACTTTCTAACCCACTGGTTTACRTCTTGTCGACCTTGAGTTGCGATTCCTGTTATCTTGACAGCCTGTGGAAAAGCCACTTCAATCCACTGTCCTACGTTGTTATGTCTGGCCGACCAGGCTCCTCTCTTGTTTCCTTGCCGCAMAGTATTCAGTCTGGATCTATCTGCTCCATGATCTGAGTCATAGATCGAAGAAGCCCTCATACGAGAATCGGGTATTGCATTGCTTTCCATGCCAAGAGGGCGACGACATTGAATCGGAGGCGCTTTTAATCCTAAAGCACAATAAGAACATTATAGTTCTTATGACTGCTTTCTTTTTCTTTTATGTAAAGCAGTTAAAGTCAGCCAAACTCACCTGCTCTACAACCATAAAACTCTACTCTCAGAGAAATGTGGTGGTGCCATGCAATGGGATGAACCCGAACGAAGCGAGCGTAGATATTTGGTGTGAGATCATTTGTAACTACTGACGAACGATCTGTGTTCCCCTCAAGCTCCTGTTAACAAATGTACTATTTATATATCATATGTATAAATATGTTTGTGTATAGCGATAAGCAGAAATTATGATCTTTTAGAGTAATGTTCCAAATATTTTATATAAACTATATATATAGTCATTAGTTTCCAATTCACTAGATTTTCTTTGTTTATTCATAGGGTTGTATATATGATAGAAACTTAAAGACAGGGAGGGATTTGATATTCAGCAGGGAAATGTGGGGTTGATGAATTGAATTGAATAGCTCGTTATAAATCGGGTGACCGGGATCACTCATATTAACCTCCTCCACAGGCAACTCTTTTTTCCTCCTTTGGGCTTCCTTTGTAACGGTCATTTTGGCCGTTAGGGACTAGTGACGAGATAGCAAAAATAAGCTCCCCTTTTCTCGCCCCCATTCTCCCTCTTTGGACTCCTCAAAAAGACAGGAAGCCCGTGATTCTTAGTGATGCCTGCGGAGGAGGCTACACTCATATATAGCCCGCTGAATTTATAAGGAGCTATCCATGCAATTCTCAATTCATCAAGACCCCACATTTACCTGCTGATTATCAAATAATCGGGCTGTATATAGCTTAATTCCTCCGTTCTCGGCAACTAACTCTTACTTACATGACCTGAAATTGGTAACGTGCTTAACTACAATAAACTAGAATGAATTCAAATTTCTATAATTGACGGTTTTAGACAAAGTGGCTAGGACTGACAATCCACGATCGGCAATTAATCACTGCCTACCTTATGATATCTATCCCATAATATACCATATCTGCTGTAAGAGAGCGTGTATCTAGTGACCCATTGATCAGAATCAGAGCGTCCTTGGGTCGCAAGCTTGTTAATTTTAGCAATTCTTCCAAAGTCTATTTTCAGCCACTGATGCAAATTGTTATGCCGTGCTGACCAGGCCCCGGTTCGTCCTGCTTCTGGTACAAAGTTTAGTCGTGCGTTCGCTGCGCGATGTGCTCTGTTCCACTCAGATGAAGCACTTAATTGAGAATCTAAGATAAGACCAGACTCTAGGCCCAAAGTTACATTACAGATCTGCTTTGGACTTTCAAAACCTATGAATAGCAAGGGAAGTATGTTAACGTAGTTATATAACTCATTAATAATTCGTGAGTTATTAGTCCAATGAGTATTGAACTATTGRGTCACATGATGGACCTTTATATCACGTTATCAAACCTAAGTTTCACATAACTGATGTCTATGCATTTACCCTTTGTGCATCCAAAAAGTCCAACTCTCATCGAAATATGACGATTCCAGCATTTTGGATGGAAACGTATCAATAACGCGATTATTGGCGAATTAAGCTTGTGCGATACGACTGTGTGCCGATCTGTGTTTCCTTCAAAGACCTGAAATGAGAACAAAAATAAGCAACAAGCAAACAAGCAAGCAAGCGATGTTAATAATGCAAGTCTTTTGAACTTTGAAAAATATTCCCGCGGGCGCTACTTGAGTTGATATAGTTACAATCGTTACCAAAAAACCTTGGACCACTCATAGAACTATTTGTCCCTCCAGCCTAACATTTTTTGCTAGAATGGTCCAAA